TAGACTCACTCCGTCACTAGGCTGGAGTGCAGTGGCACCATCTTGGCTTACTGCAACCTTCGACTCCCTGGTTCAAGCAATTCTCCTGCCTCAGCCTCCCAAGTAGCTGGGATTACAGGTACACACTACCATCTCCAGCAAATTTTTGTAGTTTTAGTAGAGACGGGGTTTCACCATGTTGGCCAGTATGGTCTTGCCCTCTTGACCTTGTGATCCACCCGCATCAGCCTCCCAAAGTGCTGGGATTACAGGAGGGAGCCACTGTGCCTGGCCTAAATCTCATTAATTTTTAAAAATTAACTGGGCACAGTGGCATGTGCTTCTAGTCCAAAGGGAGGCTGAGATGGCAAGATCTCTTGAGCCTGGAAGTTTGAAGCTGCAATGAGCAAGGATTCCACCAGTACACTCCAGCCTGGGCAACAGAGCAAGAAACCCCCATCCATCTCTGAAAAGAAAATAAATAAATGGATGGCTACCTCCATGTACTGATAGCATGTGCATATCACTGCATTTTTCTGTTTATATATAAATTTACTCCACAAACCTGGCTACTCCTTGAGGTCTGAGCTGTCATCTGCCTGAACCCCTCACTCCTAGAGTATCTGTCCCATACAAACATACATACATACAGTGTACACACACACACACACACACACACACACACACACACGGCTAACAGGGGAGAGATCTTGACAGGTGGAGTTTGACCAGCTGGAAGGACATTTGAGGAAGTCACTGCCTCTGTCACCATCTTCCTTTACTTCTTGGAAAACCTGGAAATAATCCTATTGGAGAATATAAAAGCACTTTACTATATTCAGCAAAAAAATCCCAGTGGACCTGATAGAATCATACTGAGATTGCTCCTTTATTACAGATAAGGAAACAGACCTTGGAAAAGTAACAGACCTGCAGCCCTGAGTATGAACGATCTGAAGGGGAAGAGTTAATTAAAAGTAGCCTCATCCAGGGAAGGTTCAGATCAGTGTCTCACTTTAACAGAGTTCTGGGGCAACAGAATAACATGGCGGAGTTTCCCAGACCCAAGGCAATTTTATCCTCACTTCTCACCACTTCCGAGAAGCATCCCTGCACCTGCATAAGAAAGCCCGAGCATCTGGAAAAAGGACGTAGGTGAGCAAACTGAAAGATGGCAGTTAAAACTTACAGATCACCTAGTATGCGCTGTGCGCCTTCAAAGCTTTATCTCAGTTCTTGCTACAGCTCTAATGTAGGAACTTATTTTATCGCTGAGGAAACAGGTTCAGAGAAACTGATAAGTTAGCCAAGATCATACAGAGAAAAACAGGAGCTCAAATCCGAAACCAACTCTCGTCCCCTCCAGTGCCTTGCGCTCTCCGCTCAACCCCACGGGCTGACATCTCAGCAGTAAAGGATCGAGGCTATCTCCTCCAGGAGAAAGATGAGCTAGCAGCAGGAGAAACTCACCTTGGCACAAGCACAGAGCGTGAACAGGATAGTGTGGCTTGGGTTCAGTTCTACACCCTGCCAGAGAGCCAACAGGCCTCAGCTTAAGTCTGGCAGTGATGAGGCAGCTCCACCCGGAGGGAGGGGCAGGGGGCGGGCATCAAGGATCGCGCGCAGAGTGTACCTCCTTCCCCGCCTCCAGAGGAAGGACCTGAAGCGGATGGAAGCCAGAGCGGCGAGGTAGTGCCGTCTTCACCTCTGGATCCTCGAGATCGAACTGGCCAGAACAGGGTCACTCACTCCGCCGCGTGGGTCTGGAGAACTTCTGAGCGTAATGAGGCAGAGGACGCAGGCCTCGCGGGCGGTCCAGGGGGCGAGGCCAGCCGCGCCTCCTGCTGGCCCACATTGCACCGCGCGCCTGGGCGCAATTGCTAGAGCTTTTCCGGGGGAAGTAGAGTCGCAGATGCCACGTTGCAGGTTCTGGCGTCCGACCTCCGGATTCACAATGCCATCCCTGGCTCCATACTCTCCCTAAAGTCATGTTGGCTGGATTCCCAAAGTTCACCTCTGTTGGCCCCGTTACATTTAGTTTAAGCAAACTGAGGCCCAGAGAGCAGCTGCAACCCAAAGGTTGGCCAGAATAGAGAAGAGTCGGGTCTACAGATCCAGACTCTGGAAAGTGCCTGGGTCCCCCTTCTGTCTGGACCATGGACCCGTGCAGCACGTTATGTGCCAGGCCCTGTGCTTGACACTTAATATCATCTTATCGAATCTTAACAATAACCCTGGAAAAGAAATATTATTTTATTCCGTACAAGCCTTTTAAAATGGTAGTATAGCATACATACAGAAAATACACAAATCTTTTTTTTTTTTCTGTTCTACATCCAGGAAGAAAGAAAATGTACAAATCTTAAATGTATACAGTTCTATTATTATTTTTTGCAATGTAACTGCCATCCAGATGAAGATATAGATATTACCAGCACGCCATAAACCTGTGAGCAAAGTATTCGTGATCTGTTTTACAGATTGGACAGTCTCAGCAAGGTTAAAGCTATTTATAATTTTCCCAAACTCACACAGGTATTAATTAAATGACAGATCTGAGATTTGAAATCGCCTGTGCTGTTTGAATGGAGAGATCTTGCATTTATGTGTTTTCCTTGGCAGGGATGGGCAAGATGCAGGGTTACCTCAGTTTGGCTCTGCTTTTCCCCACACCTTTGCTCCCCCAGTGCCACTCTTCCCATTTCCCCATTGCCATTATCCCCTACTGTCTCCCCAAAATAAGTGATGTCCTGGTGGACCAAATGTCTAATGTATTATGCCATTCTCATAAAAACACTCAGACTTGCCAGGCGCAGTTGCTCACGCCTGTATTCCCAGCACTTTGGGAGGCCAAGGTGAGTGGATCACCTTAGGTCAGGAGTTTGAGACCAGCCTGAACAATATGGAGAAACCCCATCTGTACTAAAAATACAAAATTAGTCAGGCATGGTGATGCATGCCTGTAATCCCAGTTACTTGGGAGGCTGAGGCAGGAGAATTGCTTGAACCTGGGAGGCGGAGGTTGCCGTGAGCTGAGATTGCACCATTGAATTCCGGCCTGGGCAACAAGCATGAAACTCTGTCTCAAAAAAAAAAAAAAAAAAAAAAAAAAAAAAAAAAAAACCACTCAGATTCTGGGTGGTCGTGGTGGCTCAGCCTGTAATCCCAGCACTTTGGTGATCCTACGCAGGAGGACTGCTTGAGTCCAGGAGTTGTTGTCCAGCCTGGGCAACATAGCAAAATCCTGTCTCTGCCAAAAAAAAAAGCAAGGCATGGTGGTGTGTGCCTATGGTTCCAACTACTCAGGAGGCTGAGGTGGGAGGATCACTTGAGCCTGAGTGTCCCCAGTGAGCTGTCCACGATAGTGCCACTGCACTCCAGCCTGGGTGACAGAATCAGACCTTGTCTCAAGGAAAAAAAAAAAAGAGACAAACATTTCAAATTAAAAAAAAAGAAAAACTTGTATGTATAGGGAAAAAGACTAGATGGAAACATACCAAGCTAATTACCAGTTTCATGTGATTAATGGGAGTGTAGGTTATTTTGCTTTCCCTTCAGTATTTATTTATTTTTATTATTTTTTTCTTTTTGTTCAGCAACTGCTTCTGCACCCTTCAGTATTTATTAAGTTTTGAAACAGCTAGTATATGGGGTTCTAAGTTTAGTACCTCTCCAGATTCACTTGGACTCACCTGCTGTAGGCCTTAGCCACTTACTCAGTGGAGAGCCCCAGTCATCATTGTTGTCCCATCTCCTGATGCAGTAGTCTGTCCCAACCTCACCAAATGTGTGGACCGGACTTCTGTACTTTCTCTATTGCACCTGCTATAACAGGAGCTGCAGCAACTATGGCACTTGTATCTGACTTAACCAGTCCCACAAAGAAACTTGCCACTTCTACCACTTCCAGAGTAAGCTGAAGCACTTACTGTGAGAATTGGGATCAGTCTTCCCAGGCTGCCTGGAGGAGCTAGATAACAAAAGCTGTAAGTGTCAGGGAGTTAATATCTCATTGGGTATAAGGAAAGTAACCAATGAGAAAGATGGAAAGAGCCAACAGATAGTTGGCCTTTGTTGCCCCTAAAACATGGTCCCTAGACACCATACATATAATGGTTTCATATAGCCTCTCAGTTCTATGTAACTGAGTGCTTAACTGTCTTCTTATGAGGCTATAGCTAGATCTGTGACACACCACCTGTTATTTTCTTTCCCTTCCTCCCTGGTTCATTTCTGTTTTCCTCTCATTCTTGTTCTGAGATTACACCTCCCATTAAGTCCTTAGCATGTAAACTTTGCCTTCAGCTCTGGTTTTCTAGGGAAACAAGCTAAAACTATATTGATTTTATAAGAAGTGGAAAGAGAGAGAAGAAAAGAATGATTTAAAATAACCAGATCAGGGCCAGGCACAGTGTCTCATGCCTGTAATCCCATCCCTTTGGTAGGTTAAGGAGAGTGGATCACTTGAGATCAGGAGTTTGAGACCAGTCTGGCCAACATGGTGAAACCCCATATCTACTAAAAACACAAAAATGGCCGCGCACAGTGGCTCACCCCTGTAATCCCAGCATTTTGGGAGGCCGAGGCGGGCGGATCACAAGGTCAAGAGTTCAAGACCATCCTGGCCAACATGGTGAAACCCAGTTGCTACTAAAAATACAAAAATTAGCTGGGCGTGGTGGCATGCACCTGTAGCCCCAGCTACTCAGAAGGCTGAGGCAGGAGAATCGCTTGAACCTGGGAGGCAGAGGTTGCAGTGAGCTGAGATTGCGCCACTGCACTCCAGCCTGGCAACAGAGCAAGACTCTGT